AAAAATATTTAGAAATATAAATTTTATGTATTGAATATTTTTGTTTGTGTTGTCATGTATTTAATTATATATTAGTATTTAAAAAAAAGGAAATTGTAACTCAACACTTTGTGACTCGTTACTTTTCAAATAACAATCTACTCTTTAAAATCAAATAACAAATTACTTTTCAGAAAAAGGAAGGATAACGGTAACAAGTTACTTTTATAAAGTAACTTCCTCAACGCTGATTCTACTCTATTTATACATATATATAAATTTATTTGCATTTTTTTTTGTGCAGAGATACACATTAATATTTTCTGTATAGATAATATTTCTAAAATTATCATCATGCACAAAAAATAAAATGATGCGTAATGAAATGTAAATTTGATTTAAAAAATTATGTGTATATTGACTCAAAATGAAATTTATTATTTTAAATATGTTTGTATGTCACAAGATGCAATCATTAATCTTTCCTGCATTGGTCATATTCTAATGTAATAATATCGTGAAATAATTAAGTTGTAAATGCCTCTTAATCCTCTTAATCCGTTAACGATGTTTCGGCTGTACAATAGTAGTAAAAAACTGACAAAATTTGAAAAAAACATATTTCTTACGTTTATACTGTTTGAAAAATCAAATAAATAAATCCGGATTATAAAAAGAATTAAAGTATCACAAAATAATATGGTTTTTAACGTCTTAATAGAAGAAAATAGTTGTAATTAATATTTTTCCTATTTTATGACAAAAACTTTTGATTGTGGATACCTTTTAGCAAAAAACAACAGAGAGAAAGAGAGAGAATATTTTTCTATAATTTTTAAGTGAATAACTTTTAAACGAATAAGTAAATCTAAATCAAGTTTTGCACAAATATTTATTAGAGTTTTTTTTAGTATATATAAAAATTTTTATTTCGTTGGCAATATTTTTTTCTAGTCAATATTGTCATAAGCTACAATACGCAATTTTCCATAAGAATCAATACTAACAAAATTTAAATAATTTCCAAACCGTTAAGAGAATTGTGCTCAAATTTTGCACAGATACTCAGAAGAAATAGTAGAATAGTCTACGAAATTTTCATGCTTTTGTCAATGTTTTGACATATGATACATTCTAGTTCTCTTCATATTTAGTTAAGTTCTAGTATATAATGTACAAAACATATAATTAATCTTAATTTGCAACCAAACGAGTTAAAAAGTAACAGAACTGCTAAAATATTTAAGGAAGAAAAAACTAAACAATCTTAATCATGATCAAGCGGGTATCAAAATCGACTCAAATTGCGAACGAATTAGATCATCTGCAAGGTGGCTGCTTACCTGTAATGATGCATAATGATGCGTGTATAGAAGACATGTAAATGTAGTTAACCAAGAGCAGGAAAACGTAGGAAATAATTAAGCAGATGACGTAGCACATGAGTGTTTTGCCGTAAAGGTTCTTCAACTCAGGGATAATCGCGTACACCAGAAAAGTTGCGACGAGAAATGGAATGGATACTGCGATGCCTACATGATGAGCCATGTTTTCTTCTTCGTTCGGCATTTGTGGCGTCAGGCAAATCAAAATACCAATTCGATCGAAATTCATCTGCCAATCGATACAATAATTCCAGAGTGGGATAATTTCATTGGCATTTACGAGGCTGCCGTTCGCTTGAAGGATGAATTTCTCTTCTTGAAACTCGTCTGGGTCAAGAGCGTAAATACCGGCAGGACAAACAAAGTTCTCCAGCAACAGAAAATGGTCTTTCAATTTGCCAACATGTTGGACCTCCTCGGCCATTTGTTTCCTTGACAGACGCAAATCCTCTATTTCTCTAGCCGGCATGGTATCATTATGGAATATCTTCTGGCATACCGTTTTTGTGAGGTCCTTACGAAGGACCTCATCGCCGCGACAGCATTTCCTGATACAGTCGCGCAACTTGCAGATGCAACCATATGTGACATTGCCGTCGGTCCAATGTAGATCGGCCGGGTAAACAATACCGTCGTAGAGAAGGCTGCCGTTTTTTTCAAACGTTTGCGACGCCGTCAGCAGAGTACTATCATTAATGTTTCCCCCGCTGAGAACCACACTAAGCAACGGTGAGCAACGCGGATCGTCTCTTAGTACTGGCAGTGGTCCATCATTAGCGATATCACTGCTGCTATCAACCGTCAACAGACTGCATGCGGCGAGGAAGACCGCCGAATTAAAATTCGCAGAGCGGGCGCACATCACGACAAGGGCGCCGAAGATCGTAAACTATCAGCCGCGATCCATACAGCGATTATTCGTGGCAGCTCCACTCTGTGCTCGGCGCCCGACACTTCTGCGTCGGCGGATGCGCGTCATAACGCGGCGCCGCGACGCTTCGCGCTTTCGCACGCCGATGAAATCTCATCACTTGGGAGAATGTTCAAAGAAAAAAAAATGTTCAAAAATAAGGAGTTTAAAAAAAGCGACGTTTTATCTCGGCATTGATAAGCAGAGCATTTTGGACTCCAAATTCTGATTTATCACGTTTTTAGTCCTCAACAAAATTTGTATTTGGTTAATTATATTAATTGGCAATTATTAGACAAAAACAATAATGTAGGTAAATTACTTGACAAATGTTTGGTCCCCAATTATAGAAAAAGTTTTATTCTATACGTTTCGGCACACGAATATATTTCTTTTCTTTTCTTCAGCTAGAATAAAATAATTTAGACTTAAATTTAATTTTTAAATCTTTGTCATGAATGTATGAAAATAGTTGAAAGTCTTAGGTTTGTTTTTTGTAGGTGTACATACTGAAATGAAATAAAATGAGATAAATACAAAGTGTCCGATAATAATTGTATCACTTTTCGTATGTAGGTAGAGCAGGTGAAATCGAGAAGAAAAGCCTTTATCATTTAGCGGTTTTCGTAATAATTATGAAGAAATTAATTAAAAAGATCGACCAATTCGTGTGAGTATAAATGTGCAGTAAGAAAGGACAGTCCATCGATATGTGATTGCTAGAATGCAAGAATCCAGCATTGTATGTACCGCTCATACGTAACCGTTGTCATTTGTAGAGCGCTCTTCCAAAATCTTCGTTTCGCGCCTAGCGACCGCATAATTTTGAGCAGTCTCTTTACGCTGTGTGCTTATACTCGCGCATATTCGATCTTTTTAAATTAATTTCTCAATTATTACGAAAATCGCAAAAAGGTAAAGGATTTTTCTCCTCGGTTTCACCTGCTCTATCTGCATACGAGGTGATACGGTTATTATCGGACACCTTATATACCTATAAGGTGTCCGATAATAAGGTGATTCGTATAAAGTGACCAATGTAAATATTTGCAAAAGTTGAACATATATGAAAAAATTCTTTATACAAAAAATATTTAATACGGAAGAGAACTTCGTATGATGAAAACGATTTTTTTTGTAGGTGAAGGCATTAAAGAAATTTCAAAGTCAATCTAGTTTTTTTAAATGGAATCACTCCAATTTGTTTATATAAATCAATTTCTCGCAATATTCGATGGAAAAAGTTATGAGTAATGAATGGCTGAAAATTAAATAGTTTACAAAATATTTTATACTTTAATTTGACATAATTTGACATAAATTATGAAATATTTTGTAAACTATTAAATTTTTAGTCATTCTCTACCCTTGTAACTTTTTACACCAAATATTGCGAAGAATCGATAAATTGGGGTGGTTCCATTTAAAACTAAATTAGGTTGACCTTGAAATCTCTTTAATGCCATAAAAAATCGTCTTTATTATACGCGCGACGCGTCTCCTTCTATATTAAATATTTTTTGTATAAAAATTTTTTTTATATATTTTTAACTTTTGCAAATATTTACATCAGTCATGTTATACGAATCACCCTGTATATTTAGAAATTGGAAAGAAAGTACGTAATCCTTTTTTTGCACGAAACCTCTGCACATTTTAAAACGGGAGATGATTATCATCTTGTATTGAAAAAACAGAAAAACAAAAATGCAAGAAATTTAGTTACAAAGAAACAAACTTCTTATTTCAATGAAATTGTCGCAAAATATACAAAGTACAAAAACACTTGTGTTTTGCACAAAATAAAAATGGAAAATAAGAAAAAGTGTCTGTATTTACAAATATTTTCTAATTATTTATTATAAAAAAAAGAAATTATAATAAGTATATACAATTATTATAATTTTTGTTATAAAAAGTTATGACAATGCAAACGCTCGTTATTAAATTACCACATAAATATTCGTATATCTTCGAATATATGATGCTTTCAACTATGTACAGAATGGATCATCAAATTTTATCATCTTTGATAAATTTTAAGATGTGTTTTATAGAAAAATGTTTCAAATGAAAGTTACCTGATTTCGCAAAGTGCATTTTGTGAACAACACGGTCTTATTCCAGCTTACAGAAATTCAAGAGATCATATGTTTTTTTTTTTTCTCTCCTTCACAAAAGATCTTGAGGTGGCGAAAAACGTAGGCTTATATTTAACACCGCTAAATATCGCTCGTAACGCTGTCATTAGAGATTTTGGCAAATAAAGCAAACAATTCTGTAAATACACATTCGAATCCTCAACCGCATTTATACTTGCATTCATATCACATCTGCATCGCATCACACCCATATCCGCATTCCATATTTACATCCTACATCAGCACCTGCACTCACATCCGCATCTACAACCGCATCCGTATTAGCATCCATAGTTGTAGCTGGGCATTCAATTTGTGGCATCCGCATTTGTAACCGCACACATATATACATGGACACACTCAGAGCCACGTTACAGCGTATCTTTTACCAAAATGCTTTTTTAATCATAAATTTGAGAATAATTATATTTTTTTAAATACAACAAAATTTTTTAAAACAGTGATTGTATCAAAGAAATAGTTGAATTTTACTGCATGCATTAATACTATGATGAGAGCAATTGATATATTGCAGATTAATGGACACATATATAAAAATTATAAATTATAAATTTATATGCATGTATACTTTGCAGAAATATATAAAATCCGCCTAAAAAAGACATCACACAAAGCTGTAAAAAAGCGCCACATACATCTTTCTTTGTAATCAAAATAACAGTCTTTTTGCGAAAATAAAATTTCTCCAGCCAAAATAATAGTTTTTTACAAAAAATAAAATTAAAAACATATATAAATTAATGATATAAAAAATTATTGAAACCACAAAGGAAAATAAGTATATTAATTTTTTTTGCTAGTGGGCAATAAATCATAGACGTAAAATCACAGAAAGGACCAAGTATGTTTAAAAATTATTCTTTTCGCTAACGGATAGTCAATCGTGTTAGAAGTAAAGTTCAGATATAAAAATAATATTCAGTACCAGCATATTTGATTTGCCCATTTCCCGAATTAATATAATATAAGCTTATAAATTAATATATTAAATTATTTATAAATTGATATATCTAGGAAACGGGCGCACTAAGTATGCTATTGCTGGACATTCTATTCATGTCCAAATATAAGTATTGATACGACTGAACAGTGGTTCATCAACGAAAAAGATAGGTTTTAAGTCTGATCTTTTTTATGATTTTTACATTTGATATACAGGGTGTTCAAAAAAGGTGGTACCAAATTTTAGGAGTATGTAGTACTCGTAAAAACAATCTAAAAAGTTTTAAGGGGATCCAAAAGTGACGGCCAAACTCCGACGGGTTAGCGCCCTCATCCAAGCGTAACTAAAATTATCGATAATACCAACCGAAATTATCGATAAAAATGTAATAGCTTTCACTTTACAACTTATGATTTAGATGATCGCTTGTGATTCGTGCGTCTAATAATTGATAAACAAGCATTTAAAGTTTCACTTACTCTATATACAATAATTAATTGATAAATTACCAGACTTTAATTCATGCGTGAGAGAGTAATATACATGTACGCACTAATATACCGCAATTTCTAATATCTTCTTTCTTTCGATCATACACTTACTCTATTTCTCTCTGTATCTCTCTTTCTAATCGTTCGCTTACAACGTACTGCATATCGCTTAGCTTTATTCTTCTAGCATATTCGCTTACACCTACATGAAGCTAGCTGGAAGAAATTATTAAATATGATTATTTATAATTTTCCTGAATGTATTTCGTTTGTAAATCGTTTGTGATTGATTGTGAGTTTGTTTTTAACGTTTATGACAAATTTTAGGTTTTTTGTAATTAGCAATTTTAGTTTGGTCATGATGTTAGCCGGAACTTTTTAGTAACAAACAAATTTTGTGATAACTGATAACTGTAATTGATAGGAAATCGTTTGTGATTTACAAATATACCAATGTTACATTTGTGAATTGATAAA